ACCTGCCTGTCCCAGGCCCCGGCCCCCTGCCCGTTTCAGCAGACCCCAGCCTGCACCTCCTACCTCCCAGAGATCTTGCTGCTGCAACTATTGACTGAGCCCACTCTGGGCAGCTCCCTGAGAGTGGCTACCTTATTTTTGCTCCCTACTGTGTCTGCACAACCAAGAACGGTACCCGCCACCTAGTAGGCACCAGAGAACGTGTGTTGAGTCGGTGAGTCCATTGCAGGACTAGTGATTCAAGGCCAGGATCAAAGGGCCAAGGGCAACCCTTTCCTCTCAGCAGCAGCCCGGGGCCCTGCGGAGCCTGTGTCAAGGAGCAGCCCGACATCTGCTAGCCCCTCAGAAATAGTCATCAAGTATCTCGATCACAGGGTGCTTGGTGACATTCCAAGGCTGGGCTGGCAGAAGCCCCAGAGCCTTCCTAGGTCTTCATTTGGTTTTTGAGAAGATACTGATGATTGGAGTTAGTCAGAGAATATAGCCAGGTGGTCACCAGGTCCTGTTGGTGCTTCCTTTAAAATGGTTCCTGTCCTGCCAGACCAGGCCCCAACTGCCTCCCACCCGAGTTCTGCCTCACTGTCCAGGGACCCTGGCCACCCAAGCTCTCCAACCCTCCTCTGCATGAAGGGGTTTCGGTGCGAAGCAAGGAGCTTTTAGAGCAGCATGGGATGAGAGGAGGTGCTGTCACATCCTGGGGAGGGGACCCTGGATGACAGGCAGGAAGGCCAAGGATTAACCCACCCTCAAGGGACCCATTTACAGATGAGGGAGCCGGCGACTTGTCCAGAGTCACACAGCAAGTCAGTCATGAATTCATTGGAGAAGTCTGTGTCAATTTTTACAGTAATAGATGCAGTCAGAGTGACAGTCTGGGTCCCTGCCTCGGGAGGTAAGGCCTCTGGCTGGGCCTCAGCACGTGTGCCTCTGGTCCCACCCCAGGGGCTGGCCTGGCCCTGAGGCCTAGGAGGGGGTGATGCTGAGTCCTGGGAAATAGGGCAGCCCTGGGCCTCTGGTGTCACCCACAGTTTCCTCCCCTCTCTCCGCCCTCCCCCTTCTGCTTTTGTTTCTTGGCTTCCACAGTTTCTCCCTCACACTCTCTCTCTCTCTCTGCTGCGGCCTGCCTTCCCCCCACTCCCAGCACAAGTCTTTAAACTACAATTAGGCAGCTCTTCTATTTCCCTGCCAATGCCATTTCCTTTCTCTCCACCCTGGGGTCGAGGGTGATCTGGTAGGAGGCCGAGCTGCATCCCTGCATCCGGACGGCCACCCTTCATCTCATAGCCGACGGGCAGTCTGAACTCTCCTTTCCCTTGGACACTGTGGAGAGAGAGCTTTTGTTCTGAGCCCGCAGCACTAGGGGTGGGGAGAGGCCTGCCCTGAGAAGGGAGGTGCCGCTGCAGGGAATCGCCCTGTCACACAGGTGGTGCGCCCAGGCAGGCTCTCCTCCTGCCCTGGGCAATCCCGTGCCAGGGCCTAAAACAAGAGGGTTGTAACTTGTGAGACGCAGCCAGAGAAGGGAGGAGTGGGGGACCAAAAAGATGGCCCAGGAGAAGGAGGAATAATGACACCGGTTACAGAGCCCCTGGCTTCCCACGAGTTGTTACTGTGTGTGACAGACAACACGCATGCGAAATGCAAGTGGATTAGATTCCCTCTGTCTCAACAAACAGAGCACTTCCCACACACACACACACACACACACACACACACACACACCCGCCTCCTGGCTGCACTGGTGAACAGGGCGGCATGGAAAACAGGCGTTCCTGCTGGCTCCTTGAAACCTGAGGGGAGCAGGGCAGCACCTGGGAGCTGAGGGGACCGGGCTCGGAGCCATGGCGTGACCCCCCAGGTCGCACAGATGATGAATCAGAGCTGCAGTTGTGGAGCCGGACGGGCCTGGTGCAGACCCAGCTCTGCCCTCACTGACAGGGCGCCCCGGAGCACGTTTCTTAGGCCTGGGATCCCTGGGCTGGGAAATGGGGTGCACACTACCCCCACCCCCGTGGGGTTGCTTTATGATTAGATGGCTTGCCTAGGACCTGGTGAGCACTCAATAATGGGAATCTAGCTCTTCCACTCATGTTTTTGGTTAGTTGTTGGCATCTCTGGGTCCCCCCCGACTTGGGCACAAACCCCTCGAAAGCAAGGCCTCTGGGAAGGTCCCCTTTGACACCCAGGCACAGGCTCCTGATACAGAAACAACTTCTCCAGTCCTCAGCCCAAAATTCAGCCTGTTCTCATAGGAGGGGATGCCTGGTGGGTGGGGTCCTGGTATGATTGTTAGGAGTGGCCCCTTTCAATCTTCGAAGGTCCGTCCTCATAGGGACAGTAAATTACAGACCCCCCTCCCTGGAGGGGACCACCCCAGACCTGGGCTCCGGCTCCCTCGGGCAGGTACTGGCTGAGTTTTTCAACAGCTCATCCGCTGATAGAGCAATGTTAACTATTTCTTTGCTTCTGTTCCCTTGAGGAGGTTGCCGGGGAGAGGGGTGGTGCCAGGTATTGGGGCCAAAGAGAAAGGGACAGGGAAAGGGATTAAACTTTACACTGACCTTCTCTTCTCATCTCATCTCATGCTGCATGAGTCCAGCGTGGAATAGAGCCTGTGTCAGGCAGCAGGAATAGAGACCTAGTTCCATAGAGATGTGGAAACTGAGGCTCAGGGCATGACAGGATGTGCCGGGACTACAGCAGGGCAAAGCCCGGATTTGAACTCAGAACCCAGGGTCAAGTCCCCAGCATAGGCTCCGCTGTGGAGGGTCAGTTCCTCCTCTCCCCGTCTCGCTGGACCCTGCCTTTGGGGAAGTCTAGAAAAAATGCTGAGCTTGTTCTGTGCTCAAACCCACAGCAGACACAAGGCCTGCCCAGGGTGCTGCTGGGCGCTGTGTCCGTCAGACAGGCTGCCGCAACCAGAGGCAGCAACATGTCCCCAGAGTGGCTGTGGTGGGCACAGCTTCTCCTGTGGGGACTTCATGAGGGCAGGGCCCCTGCCTCACCCACCTGCATCTCCAAAAAGCACAGGGCCTGACCCAGAGCCGGGATCTAGCAAATATTTGTTGCATGAATGAATGATTGAATGAATGACTTCCTTCTCGGTCCCTAGAGGTTGTCTGCAGAGTCACCCCAAACCTTTGATGAATTTGGGGCTCCAGAATGGAGAAATCGCTCAGCCTTGTGGCTTTCATCAGAAAAGGCTCCGCCCAGAGACCTGGGCAGACAATAATAGGGATTAATAATAGTGATTCTTTATATCTGGTGAAGGCTCTACAGTGAACGAAGCCCCTTCACCTGCGTTACCACCTGGGCTCTCCTTGGGGAGGGGTTTTCATCCTCATTAACTGAGTAAGCTGAGGTACAGAAGTAACTGAAGACTTTGCTTTGTCACGTGGAAGTGGCAGAGCTGGGACTTGAGGCCAAGCTGCCTGACTCCTAATTGAGTGCTCATGCCAAAAGGGGGGTGGGGTGGACTCTGGCTGACGTTTGGTTCCTCCAGCCTGTTCTAGATGGACTCGGAGCGCCGTGTCGGAGGTTTGTTCCATCTGACCCCTTCCAGAGAGCCTCACTTTAAGCTGAATAGTTTAATCTTTAGTGTCCGTTTCAAGGAGGCTACATTCCTGTCTAGGGTACTTTATATTTAGCCAGCTTCAGGAAGGGGAAGCTCTACTGGCCTGTGGGGGAAGGGAGACACCAGGCTGGAGCCGGTTTCCTGAGGAAGGGCCGCTGCTGGGCCTTGTGCCAACCATGGCCCGGGGAGGAGAGCAAGCGAGGCAGGCAGTAGCCGCCCCAGTAACGTCCTCCCCCTTCCTTATGGAGCTCCTCCGATGTGCTGGGAGCTGGGGGTTCAATCTTGAGTCTCCAGGTCAGAGAGGAGGCCCTCCCACATCCGGGCGCACTGCTCCTTGTGCCACCAGAGGGCACCAGGCCGGTGGGGAGTAGGGGAAGCCCCAGGAACAGGTGGAATTTGAGGGAAGCCTTGGGAGGCCCGTGGGAGGAGCCAGGAGCTCAGTGGGGTTGGGGAAAGGGTGCCAGGGGTGGGAGGCCCCATGTGCAAGGTGGGACGGCACAGAGGCTGGTGGGGCTGGAGCCCCTAGGAAGGCAGGATGCCCGTGCGCTTGGGGTTTGGACCTGGACAGGTGGGTGCACCTGTTAGATGTGAAGCCGGGAGCCAGTGCATTTATTTCAGACAGTTGCCTCAAACAGGTTAGACGTCACAGAGCCCTTCTTTCAAATCCGATCGTACGTGGAATTCCAGTGTACACATCAGGAAAAAAAACTCTGTTTCTAACCGGTGTAAATCTAGTATAACCTTTAGCTAGTCAAGACAATGACCTTTCGTGATGGACGCAGTCATTTAGCATGAGGGGTGGTAGGTGCGAGCTGCTGTCTAAGGCCGGCCTTGGCACCTAATTCATTTTTATATGTTGCCTTGTTTGTGCCCAATATATATTCTTTTACAAAACCAAAACACCTCATTCATATGGACGAGCCGTTACAAATGGTGACAGTTGTTGAACGCCTCACTGTACCGTCTCAAGGTCTGTGCAAAATTAATCACCTTGGCGACAAAGCTGAGGGGGGGCGGGGGCACTGAATGTGTTGGAATGAGGCGCACTGTATATACATTTGAGTAGATGGGCTTTCTAAAATCGAGTTTTGAAAATAGAAGCATCTTTATTTTTTGCAATTTCGAGTTTGTCTTCTAGGACGTGCAGAGAACCACTGAGGCAATTCAACCTCCCTGTTTTACAGATGGAAAGACTGAGGCCGGCAGGGGGGCAGGGCTTACCCAGGATCCCACAGTGAGATGGAGGAGATAGTCAGATACACAGAGGGTGTCACTGCCCCCCGTAATTACAAGCGTGTCCTGTTCCCAAGGCAGGAATAGAGAGACGTCAGGGACGGACACACCCAAAATTAGCCGAGTCCTTGCTGACTGTGTGTCTGTCTGGGAAGCAGGGAGCCCGCAGTCCTAATGTTCCCTTCTCCTCCCGCAGCAATGCCCTCCTAGCCAGCCGCCGAGGGATGGAGGGCTTCATGGACTCAGGGACACAGACTGATGCCGTGGTGGTGCTGTCCTTGGCTCAGGCTGCCGTGCTGGGCCTGGTCTCGGAAAATGAGCTCTTTGGAGCCACCATAAGCGCCGAAGCCTTCTACCCGGACCTGGGGCCTGAGCTTTCCGGGGCTTCCATGGGGGAGCCCGGTCCCCCGGGCCCCGATGTCTACCAGCTGGCCTGCAATGGGCGAGCCCTGGAGGAGCCGGCCGAGGAGGAGGTGCTGGAGGTGGAGGCGGCCTTCGAGAAGCACACCCGGCGGAAGACGCGGCCGCCCGTGCGGCTGGTGCCCAAGGTCAAGTTTGAGAAGGTGGAGGAGGAGGAGGAGCAGGAGGTCTACGAGGTGTCCGTGCCCGGCGACGACAAGGATGCAGGCCCAGCAGAGGCCCCCGCCGAGGTGGCCAGTGGTACCTGCGAGGCTCTGGTGCAGAGCAGCTCCGTCAAGATGATTGACCTCAGCGCCTTCAGCCGCAAGCCCCGGACGCTGCGGCCCCTGCCCCGACCCCCGAGGCCAGAGCTGGACGTGGCTCCCTATGACCCGCACTTCCCCGACCCGGCCCGGGATGGCTTCCCCGAGCCCAGCATGGCGCTGCCGGGGCCCGAGGCCTTGCCCACAGAGTGTGGTTTCGAGCCGCCCCACCTGGCTTCCCTGAACGACCCCGAGGCCCCCACCATGGAGTCCCCAGAGCCCATGAAGCCGGAGCAGGGCTTCGTGTGGCAGGAGGCAGGCGAGTTCGAGGCCGACGCGGCAGGCTCCACAGTGGAGCGCCACAAGAAGGCCCAGCTGGACCGGCTGGACATCAACGTGCAGATCGATGACTCCTACCTGGTGGAGGCAGGCGACCGCCAGAAGCGCTGGCAGTGCCGCATGTGTGAGAAGTCCTACACGTCCAAGTACAACCTGGTGACGCACATCCTGGGCCACAACGGCATCAAGCCCCACTCGTGCCCACACTGCAGCAAGCTCTTCAAGCAGCCCAGCCACCTGCAGACACACCTGCTGACGCACCAGGGTACCCGGCCCCACAAGTGCCAGGTGTGCCAGAAGGCCTTCACGCAGACCAGCCACCTCAAGCGCCACATGCTGCTGCACTCAGAGGTCAAGCCCTACAGCTGCCACTTCTGCGGCCGTGGCTTCGCCTACCCCAGCGAGCTCAAGGCCCACGAAGTGAAACACGAGAGCGGCCGCTGCCATGTCTGTGTCGAGTGCGGTCTGGACTTCTCCACCCTGACTCAGCTCAAGCGCCACCTGGCTTCCCACCAGGGCCCCACCCTCTACCAGTGCCTCGAGTGTGACAAGTCCTTCCACTACCGCAGCCAGCTGCAGAACCACATGCTCAAGCACCAAAACGTACGGCCCTTCGTGTGCACCGAGTGCGGCATGGAGTTCAGTCAGATTCACCACCTCAAGCAGCACTCGCTCACCCACAAGGTAAGGCTGCCGCCTTGTGCCTCCCTCCACCTGCCCCAGGGCCTTTGCCCAGGCCCGGGGCTCTGCCCTCTCCTCCTGTGCTTCACCCAGTGCTTCCCAAAGTACCGGATAAGATCCCCGAGGCCATAATATACATGGTATGCAGGTGATCATTTCTTATTTTTATAATTACATACTTATTTTGGTGAGTGTTAGAAAAAATATATACTGGAAATTTGTTGTTAAATATGAAAACCTGACTTATTTAAAACAATTTTTTTCTTTTTTGTATTATTAGTTTCAGGTGTAAAAAACATAATGATTAGACATTGACACCCCTCACAAGTGATAACCCCAACAATCTACTACCCGTGTGACAACCTCCATAGCTATTGCAATACCATTGACTATATTCCCTATGCTGTACTTTACATCCCGTGATGGTATGTTTTTTAAAACAGTGTTTTGAATGAAGTGTTTGAGAAACCCCTGCAGGACCCAAGGAACACAGCTGGGGAATCACAGAAGTAGCCTCCTCTCCCTGTTTGATAGATGGGAGGACCAAGGCCAGGATGCTACAGGGAGATGGACGAGACGATCAGAAGTACAGACGGGTCCCTTTGCTCCTCGTAAAAAAAGTATATCAAAACCTGGGACTTCCTTTTAAGAAAAAGCTACATATGTTTCATTTTAAAAGGGAATAGATGTTAAGGAAAAATATTTGTGATGGAAAAGCACAGTTGGTTCTAGAATATGGCAAAGTGGTTTGTAAAGAAGGAACAGATAGAGCAACACTGTTGTTCTCCTGTGTCCCTAGACAGAACCTTGACCGGTTCTTCCCCGACCTTCCTCTCCCGCCCTTCAGGCCAGCAGCCACCCTGCCTTTCAGCCAATGTCACCTCCTCCTAGAGGTCTTTACATCCAGGAAGGTAGTAAAAGGCCTCTTGGGTCCCATTCTGGCACTTGGCATCCCCTATGGTTTCCACCTCAAATCCATCCAACTTCACCCTTTCGAAGCTGATGTGCATAGAGCTTCTTCTCTCCTTAATGGTGGCCTCAGAGATACTCCAGGTCGAACTTGTGTCTTTATCTGTCACAGTGGGGGAAGGGGGAGCCTGCCAGGCCAAGAGTGCACCCTTCCCCAGCCCTGGGAACTTCTTCTGCTATAGTGGAGATTTGTAGGTTTCATTGCAGGTGCTCCTCCAGTCCGTGGGTGTAGCTGCCTAGACTGTCATGTTATGAAGGATTCTAAAGCTAAATCTGGGCTCAGCCATGACACCGGAATGTGCATGGGGTGAAAACCAGATGACTGATTATTAATGTCTGCAGGGGGTGAGAGTGGAGAGTGATAAGTACATGTGCTCTATATTTGCCATCTTTCTCCTCGACTAAAAACCCCCACATGTCTGCAAAGTGTTAACAGATAAATAATACTGTGAAGAAAAGCTGAAAGCAAAAATCAAAGGCTAATACAATTGAAAACATGCCTATCCATCAGCCTGAATTTGTACCTCATTTATAGCGTGAGCTCCCAAAGGGCAGGGCCCCCTGGTGGTCATACACATCTTCCATGTGTCAAACAGGCATAGAAGACACAAGACACGCCTCTGTCGGCTAAGAGAAGTAGACACAGGAACCATTAAATTATAATACGGAACTCTGTACCAAACAGCAGTTGGGACAGCAGCTGTGACCACAGATTTCTGTGTCTGTCCCACTGGGACTGTCAATTACTGGGGTCCTAGCAAAGAGATCAGTTCCCAACTTTTGTCCTAACTTTCCTCCTCAGACAATACAGTGGGTTCCCTGTGCACACAGCATCCTTTCCTGCTTTGGGGACACCTCCAGACCGTGAAAAAGCATGTCGACCATCAAACCAGAGGGTTTTCCCTGGAGTCTTTGTCTCCTGGCGCTGAGTATCCCAAATCTCATCAATAATAAAAATCACCTAGGGGACCTGTTGAGACTAAAAATCCCTGGGCCCACTGAGCGGGGACCTCCAGGGAGCGGCCTGAACAGCTGTTCATGCAACAAGAGCTGCATGTGGTCCTTATCACCAGGGAAGCTCAAAAAACTCTCTCTCGGGGTTAGGGGATAGGTTCTGGGGGGGTTGAGAACTCTAACTTCTATGCAGACCTGAGTGTCATTTTTCCTGGGGTGTCTATACCTTCAATCATATTCTCAAAGGGGTCTGTGATGCATGAGGAGAAACACATATATGAGTATATACATCCTGGATCTGAGGACATAATCCACAGCCACCAGGCCAAGGCTGTATCTTCTGGGCCACAGACCCCTGGTACCAGTCTGGTGTGATGCTGGCTTGTAGCAGATGCCTGGTAAATGGCTGCTGAATGAATGAATGAATGAATGAATAAACACATTTGCCTGGTGGGCAGGAGACAGCAGGTGTGTGGGTAAAACAATAATGCCCAACCAATTTCTGCCTAATCCTGGAAGGCTTCCTGGAGTAAGGGCCGTGCCCCGACATTCTCCCAGTGGTTTTAAACAAGTGGTACCAGTTTGGAACATCGTTTCCAGGAAGTCATTTCCCAGAAGCTTTACTGATGCTCTGAGGCTCTGGCGCACACACACACACACACACACACACACACACACACACACACCCAGAGGCTGTGCCCATGGCGTGGCCCCGACCATTGCCCCCACCCCCGCAGGGCGTGAAGGAGTTCAAGTGCGAAGTCTGTGGCCGGGAGTTCACGCTGCAGGCGAACATGAAGCGGCACATGCTGATCCACACCAGCGTCCGGCCCTACCAGTGCCACATCTGCTTCAAGACCTTCGTGCAGAAGCAGACCCTCAAGACGCACATGATTGTACACTCGCCCGTGAAGCCATTCAAATGCAAGGTACCTGGCCCCCAAACCCCAAGGTGGGACCACCCCACGTGTGGCCTGGAGTCAGCATGACTGCAGCAGCTGAAGCTCAAAAGATGTGTGGGCAAGTCTGTATGCAGTGCATATAGTCGGCGCTGCTTGGGTGAACTGCCTGGGCTTTGGGGAGTTGGAGTGGGCAGTGGGGGATCAGATCCTATCAGCTGCTGAAGTTGTGTGTTTTGAGAGTTAGGGAGCGGGTGAAGGTCATAGGGAAAGAGCCCAGGCCTGGGACTCAGTGCAGTCAGAGGTCCGAGCCCTGGGCTGCTGACAACTCCAGCTCAGGGACCGTGGAGCAGACAGACCTACAGGAACAGTGACCAGCAAGGAGGCTCGGTTCTCTGCCTCTCGGGCCTCTGTGGTCACATAGCAAAGGACAAAGTGAGTGCTGTCTGCAGCAAGTGAGATACAATGCAGCCATGGAGGTGGGAGCAGGCTGGGGCGTGGGGAGGGTGGGCTCACTGTGGGCTGATGGTGCTGGCTGGCGTGTTCCAGGTGTGCGGGAAGTCCTTCAACCGGATGTACAACCTGTTGGGCCACATGCACCTGCACGCGGGCAGCAAGCCTTTCAAGTGCCCCTACTGCTCCAGCAAGTTCAACCTCAAGGGAAACCTGAGCCGGCACATGAAGGTCAAGCACGGTGTCATGGACATCGGCCTGGACAGCCAAGGTGGGTGGGCCACGCGCAGTGGACAGAGCAGGAGTGGTACTCCCATGATACACACGGGAGCCTCCTGTCCAGTTAGGGGCATGGGGAGGCGAGCCAGTCCTGAGACCTCCCTGGGGTGGGCTCAGGTCTGGAGGGGCGGCACCCTGGAGGGCGATCATGGTGCTAATGATGGGATGTTTATGTATTCTTCAAAGGATTTAAGTGGGCGCACATAAATAATATAATAAAAACCATAACTAACACTTACGGAGTGCTAACTGTATGCCGGGCCTTTGTAAACTCATGGGACCCTCCCAGTGAGGTTGGCTCTTTAGTATCGCCGTTTTACAGACGCAGAAACCCAAGGACAGAGAAGTCAGGGATCTCATGCAAGATCACAACACGCAGGAGGTGACACACGCTTTCTCTCGTTACTGAGAGATGACATGTAAAATACATGGGTGGGAGAGAAAGCATCAAATGGGAAAATGGCAGCTGGAAAGATAAGGGAGAGCCAGGTGAGGTCCCAAGTCCAGGTGTCCCTATAGGAGGTCCAGTGGACATGCAGAGGGGAGCTCGGAGCTTCCCAGCAGCCAACACAGTGTGATTGTCCTCATGTCAACGGTTGCCATTGGCCCTCAGAGCAGTGTGCTTCCTTGTTCACTCTCCACTCGGAGAGTCAGAGCCTGCTCCCCTTTGCTCTATGAAACCAGTGAGAACATTCTAAGAACTCACCAGAATTGGGTCCCGTGCCTATTCCCGAGCCGCTCATTGGCAAAGGGTGGGATTCCCCTTAGACCAGTGGTTCTCAATACAGGGGTGAGTTTGTCCCCAGGGGACACTTGGCATTGGGGTGATGCTACTGGCATCTAGCTGGTAGAAGCCAGGGGTGCTGCTAAACATTCTACGATGCACAGGAGAGGCCCCACAACAAAGAATTGTGGCCCCAAATATTAATAGGGCTAGGGTTAAAATCCCTGCCTTTGACTTATCAGGGCTACCCACCCCACCCCACCCCCCAGGCGGGGGTACATTTCTGCCTGAAACACATGACTCCTCCTAGGTGGAGAATATACATTGGGGCTTAGCCCCAGTCCCTGCTGGCCATCCGGTTAGGGTCCCCAGGTAATACCTGCTCCCCCCTCCCCCCCGCCTCCGTGACTCACTAAAAAGCAGCCCCAGGCCTCCTGTGTGTTTTCTCTGGCTTTTGTTCCAACAATAAGAGCTTTATAATAAGATTTCGATTTGGTAAAATTATAGGAGGCCTCTTAAGAGTTTTTGCCTCCTCCTCTGTGCTAACCTTCCTTGGATGTTTGTCTGTCCTTGGAGAACATGGTTCACGGAGACCACTGAGTAGAATGGCTTCAAGCACAAATGCTAGCAGGAGGTCAGAGGAGAAAGGCTCCCTTCAGCCAACGGAGGTAGAGCAGCACAGTGGATGAAAACAGCAGCACTTGCTGGGCACTCTTTGGCAAGTTGCTTAACCTCTCTGAACTTCCTTTTGATCTCCTAAATGGTGCTGCTGTGCGGATTCATGAGATGATGTATGTGAAGTGCCTGGCATGTAGTAGGTGCTACATGAGTGGTGACACAGAGACATGACACAGTGCAGCGGGCTTTCACATGGCAAAGGGGACCGATGAGAAACCTTGTAGACAATAAATAAGTTTAGTGACTTAAGAGGCGCAATAGAGGCGAGACCCAAAGAAGAGATCAAGGCCAGGCCTGCACCCCCACACACATACATAGCTCTAGGGTTCAGGTCTGGTGACCCATCAGAGAAGTCACAGGAGCCTGGGGCCTCCCCGAGTAGGAAGGCTGACAGGCAGCTGAGAATCCTCTGGAAGCAGTGACTGGGAAGTTCTTTCTTTAGAAAGGTCATCACTTCCTCTGTGTGTGTGTGTGTGTGTGTGTGTGTGTGGCTGGGGGTGACAGGCTCCCCCCACAAGGGGGCACACTAGCCTAACTGTGCCCCTCTCTTGCAGACCCCATGATGGAGCTGACAGGTACCGACCCCTCTGAGCTGGACAGCCAGCAGGAGATGGAAGACTTCGAGGAGAATGCCTACGCCTACGCAGGCGTGGATAGCAGCACCGAGGCCAGCGTCCTCACCGAACAGGCCATGAAAGAGATGGCCTACTACAACGTGCTATAGCACAGGCTGGGCCGCCCAGAACGGGGTGAGGAGGGCCTGTGGCGTGGGGGTGAGACCCATGGGCTGCGGGCTGCACCTCCTGCAGCTGAGAAACAAGCTACTGCCCCACTGTCCTGAGCCCTCCCCCCGCCACTGAGTCATTTGCACCACTAGGGACTTTTAGACCAAATGGACTGTACTACTGGCCTCAGCTGTGAACCAGGCATAGGCCCTAGGCATTCTGGGGAAGGAAGGGTGACACCGAGGCCCAGGTCTACGTCTCATCAGCCTGCTGCTGTGGGAGGGTGGGGGAAATGCTGATGGGGGCCACTCGGGGACAGGTCACAGGGCACAGGTTCTCAGGTGTCTCCAGGCCCAGCAGAGCTGGGGCAACCAGTGTAGGCAGGGGTCCTGACACTGGAGGAAGAGATCACTTGAGTCAGGCCTTGTTTCTCCTCTGGACCAACTCCTGCCTCCAGGGATGGCTGAGCTCCCAAGCTGGTCAGCACTGCCCACCCCACCCAGTAGCCCCTGGGCTGGCGAAAGCCCAGGCCCTGGAGCCGCCTTCCCCATCTGCCTGTGGACTGCTGGGCAGGGCCTCTGCCTTCTACCTCCTGGTGCCTCCTGCGCTCTCCTGGAGCCAGGCATGCATGCAGCCCCCTCCTGGCCCGCAGGAAAGGGGGGTCTAGCCCAGCCCCCAGCTAACGCCCTCTCCAGCCACCCCCACAGAAGGCCCCACAGCCCTAAGGTGGATTTCAACAAACATCACCCAGTTCTGTCTTGAGCTGGGATACCACACCAGGGTCCCCAGCGTGAACAAAGCCAGGACATGCCTCGTGTCAGGCACACACTAACGAAGACAGATGGAGGCCCCTTGAGCGAGGGGGCAGAGCACAGCGAAGAGACCAATGGGGACGAAGAGGGGCTGTCCTCAGAGGAGGCCAAGGACCACCTGTATGGGGGGTGGGGGAGGCAGGGTGCTGGAGTATTTTTCTTATTTAAGATATAACAAGTATCCATTCTGAGGACGGGGACAGTCAAGAGTCAGCCGACTCCCAGGAAGAGCAACATATTTAAAAAGGAAAATGAAGACCATAGAGAAAAAAAAAAAAGATTTTTTTTTTTTGAGCAAATGGGGGTATTTTGAAGGTAATTTATTGTTATTTTTTTCCTTTCCAACTCTGTGTCGCCTGTTATCTTTTCTGATGGAGCTCATTTTTTTTTTTCCCCAACAGAAGCTTTCTTGTGTGCTGTGTGTGCGCTGTGCCCCCCAACCTAGAGCAGCCTGACAGGGTCGGACTGAGCTTGGAGGGGACTGTCCCTCTGGCCCTGGAGGTCCAGCTGCTGGCAGGAGGCCTCAGGGGCCAGGCGACAGGCAGGAGGAAACCGCCAAGCCCCTCGCTCTATCCCACCCACCACAGCGGCCAGGGCCCTTGCTCCGGCTCAGCCAGCAGCTGGTTCCCTCACTTGCCCACGCTCATCACCTCTGTCCCCACGCCACCACCCCTTCCCTTGGAAATGAAGGCTACAGGCCCAAGGCGGGGGGAAATGGCACATTCAGGAATGCTAGGGCACCCAGACTCCCCCCCCCTCCACCCCCACCCCCGCTGAAACCTCAGTGGGGGAGGGCAGGCAGGGCTGTCCCCAAAGGCACAGGAGGTGAAGCCACTAACTTCAGTCCCGAAACCAGGTGGGGGTGAAACAGCTGGGGGTGGAAGGGACCAATTTGACAAGCAGTTAACCCCCAAGGCTGTATCCTGAGTGAAGGACCAAGCCAGGCCTCAGGGTGGCTGTAATCAGGACGGAGGGGAGGATCGGGCAGCCAGGTACCCTTCTGTGCCAGAGCTCACACTAAGCAACAAACAAGAGGGCTGGGGCTCATGGAAGCCTCCCCAGAGTGTGGCTCTCCAGACCCCGAGGTCCCCCCAGCCTCCCAGGTGCCCTCCATGATGACCCTCAGGTGGCAGTGACCCCGTCACTGTAGAAGACATTTTTCTCCTGCTGAGCAGAAGCATCATCCCCTGCAAACTACCTCTTCCCACAACGTCTTTCTCCCCTGGTACCAAAAAGAACCCTGTACCTCCTCCTCCTCCTCCTCTCTGCTGCCAGCGCAGTGGCCTTGGTCCTGGAAACCCAAGGGAGAAGGTCTGGGCCCCGGGGGGGCCCCCGCTTTCCTCCCCCAGCCCCGCCATCAGCACCGGCCCTCTGCGAGGTTCGATACTTGAATGCCCCTGCCCTGTGCCTTGGACCTGGGCAAAGCGAAGAGAAGGGGACAGCACAATTCAGAATTAGAGCTGGGGGGTGGTCTTGGCAAGGCTCCTGTCCTCACCCCTCGTCCCCACCTTTTCAAAAGAGGTATGTGGCCTCTCGGGTGACTTTGAAACTCCTGGGTGAATTCCATTCTAACTTATTTTGACGTGTATACAAACCAACTGTTTAGAAATTCCACACTTGTGCAAAGCCCTACTGTGTTTTTATGTTCCTGTTTAAAAGAGAAGTTTACTTAGCAATAATTATAAATAAATGAATATTCTTTAGCAAGGTGACTGCGGGTGCTTCTTTCCATGGTTCTCGGGGACCGGGTCCTCACCCCCTCCCCTGGAAGCAACTTGCACTAAAGCTTTGCAGCCTCACACAACAGGGCATCACTTCCAGGGCCCAGGAGACCCAGACCATCTTTTGCACTGGAATGAGCACCTGCAGGACCAGGTGCCTCAAAGGAGCTGCTCCAAGCCCAAGAGGGGAACAGGCCACGGCCCCAGAATTCCCACCACTTGCAGAGAAAAGCCACTTCCCCTCCTTACCCACCAACTGGGCACCAGGACAGAAGCCAGCTCACAATGCCTGACTGGGCTTCAGGGGCCGTGCATTCTGGGGGACTGCCAGCCCTTTGCTACTGATGGACAAGAAGGGGTGAGAAAACAGGAGCTTTCCCCCAGGAGACGGGCCTAGCGGAGCCAGCATGCCAGCTCTTTTCCCTGGAGCCCAGGGAGCTCAGCGCCATGACAGAGGCAGAGAGGTCCTTCCAACAGAAGGGGGCGCCAGTGTGGGTGCGAGACTGCAGCCCATCTCAGCTCCTGAGGTCCTCAGTCACTGGGTTTCAGGAGTTGTGAGAGTCCCCCACCCCCAGAATTTGGGAAATGGACTTAGGGTTGCCACATATTTATTTTATCAAGTGAATATGATACAATTTTTCCCTAGGACATTTTAACACCAAAAAAAATAGAATATCCCTGCATAAGGAGAGCCCTTTAAATTGAGACCTATTTATAACCTTACTTTTCTCATTTTGCTAAAGAATGGAGAAGGTGAACCTGAGTCTGGGACCCACTGGCTTAGACTACATGGGGGACCCCATTCACACTCCCAGGCCTTAGCCCCAAGCAGCCGTGAGAACAGAACCGAGAGGTGGCTGCTGAGTGAGGCCTGTTTTTAATGCCAAGAAAAAGGGCAAAGAGATCTGGAGATGTTTAGAAGGTTAAAACCAACACAGAAATAAATAAATAAACAAACAACCTGAATCTATCGAGACGTGTTAACCCCAAAATGGAGAACATGATACAGGAACCGGATCGTGCTAGGGAATTTCAGGGAACCCACAGGCCTGTGCCCCCCTAGAGTTGCAGTGGCTCCTTGGGCTGCTTCCATAGAATGAAGGAGGCCCACCCTGCTGCCTGGTCCCCTCCCCTCCTGGTGGCCCCCTGACTGGATGGAGCCTGGGACACAGGCCTGTTGTGGCCTGAGGCACTCCAGTCTGTCCCTAGTGGAGCCCCCCAGCCCTCTGGGGGGGGGGGTTCTCTGCCTCTAGGCCCCAGCTGCCTCCTTCCCCTGAGGGACAAACACAGCAGACGGTTTTGTGAAGATATTTTAGTAGCTAAATATGGCACCGTGTGTTCCAAGGGCAATATAAATTACAGTATGCAAAACATACTGACTGGCTGAGGTAAAACACACTGTTCCTGCCTCACGTCACCATGAGGGGAAACACAGAGAGACTTTTAAAAACATCTTGCTTATAAAAAATGTCCCCTAGAAAGGCCTCCTGCGAGGGCCGTGAGGCTCACCCTCCTGCGTGTCAGAGGACCGGTGTCAATCACAGTGGCCGGGCGGATGCCCCGCCTTGCTACTACTGGCCGAGGGCTTTGTCCAGGTTGCTCTTGATGGTGTCCAGGAAGTCCGAGGTGTTCAGGAAGTGCTCGTTCAGCTTCACACTGCCGAGAGAGCACACCATTCACGTGAAGGGCAGAGCCTGAGCTTGGGCATCTTTTTTTTTAATTTTATTGGGAAACAGCCACGGTCATTGGTTACACGTTGCTTTCATTCTACAATGGCATAACTGACTCTTTTAGAGAGGGCGTAGCTCACAGTGGCCCATGTGGGGATCGAACCGGCAACCTTGGTGTTATCAGCACCACGCTCTAACCAACTGAGCTAACCGGTCACCCTCCCGGGCTTGGGCATCTTCATGGTAGTCCCTGTGGGGAGGGGCCCGGCCAGGCTACAGGTCAAAGGTTACCTACAGCCCACTGCCAAAGGGCCACAGCAAATTCAGCAGGAACCTGGTAAGGGCTATCTGTTCTTTTCCAGGTGAAAGGGGAACTGGGTACAAACTCTCCTGGGAAAGCTGGGAGATGGTATGGGAGGGGGTGGAAAGGCTCTGAGCAGCTAACCTCAGGGATGGGGACCCACTCATGAGGTCTGCTCTGCGCCATCCCGCCAGGCTGTGGGCCTGTCCTGCCCCAGGCTCCTGGCGGCTAAGCTGACTCAGGAGGGGGCCTCTAAAAAGGGTCCCTCTAAAAAGGGTCCCTGGCTTCTTCCCACCCATCCCTGAGGTCCCAGAAAGCCAACCCTGCCCTCCGCCCGGGCCACCTACTTGCTGAGGCCATGGATGCAGCCCGCCAGGTCCTTGGTCATGGCTCCGCTCTCCACCGTCTGAACACACACCTTCTCCAGGGTCTGGGAAAACCTGCAGGGGACGGGGCAGAGTGAGACCGCAGCTGTGCAGAGTCAGGGCCCAGGCCTGCCCCGGGCCAGCTTAGGCCCCTCCTCTGTGCCCACCTGATGAGGTCCTGGTTCCCGTCCAGCTTCCCCCGGTGCTCCAGGCCACGCGTCCAGGCAAAGATGCTAGCAATGGGGTTGGTGCTGGTAGGCCGGCCCTGGGGGCAGAGGTTGCAGGGGAATCAAAAGCCAACCAGACAACAAGGGGACCACCCGGATGCAGCTGCCCACCCCTAGACTGACAGGGCCAGGCCCATCCTCCCAGTTCTCAGGGCCGGTGGGCTCTGTGCCCCTGGGGTAGAGTATGTGGCCACACTCCCCAGACTCACCTTCTGGTGCTCCCGATAATGGCGGGTGACTGTCCCATGAGCAGCCTCGGCCTCAATGGTCTTCCCATCTGGGCAGACCAGCACGGACGTCATCAAGCCAAGGGAACCAAAGCCTGAAGAGTGAGAAGACCCTCCTCTGTGTTGGTGCCTCTTCTCAGACCACCCAGGTTGAACTACTTCTCAGCTTATGTCTCCACCCATGCCCAACAGGAAGGACGGGGACTGTTCCGGTTTGGGCCCTTGTCGTGGGTCTCCTGAGCTGCGCACAGGGCAGAGGACACTTGAAGGTGGCTATGATTGGCCTGTTAGCATTCACTGTGTCCCCACATCCAGGTGTCCCATAGCCCGTAGTCCCCTAGAGCTCAAGACCCCACAGAGTTCTGCCCACCCAGCCTGGCTCATGATGAGGAGGCATATTCAAACGGGAAGAACAAAGCCCGCTGCATTTCACAGCAATCACTCTATCTGCCACTCTTTTCGGCTACTTGAAAGCTTTGTGATTTATTCCCAATTTTTCCCACATCTGGATGTCAACTATTTCTGTTGTCAAGGTGTCCTGGGCTTCAAAAGCACCCATGGCACCAAAATAAGAATTGTAAAGGCCCGAGAAATAAAAAATGGGCAACTCCTATAGGAAAATTATTTGTCTAAGAATTTTTGCTATTGGGGCAGGGGAAGGGGGTTCCTTCTCCATTTTTACCTGGACCTTCCCACTACACCAATTCCTTATAAATTGGGTTGTCGGAAACGTAATGATGTATTTTTTCTGTTTTTCATTGCAAAAATGCATCATGACTTTTCCGACAACCCAATACTTAGGGGTAACTTTCATGTTTTCTCTTGTCTGCTATGGCTTTTCACCCTTCCAGCCTAGATGGGAATTATTCTAGTGAGAGGATCACCACTGAACTGTTCAAAATAAATCCAGGGGTTTTATAAAGCATCAGGACCCTCTGCCTTTTCATCGCAACCTGGGATTCTCTCCTGGAAGCTTGACCTCACCCATCTGACATAACCTTGTTTCCGTTCCACTCTCTATGCTACATGCGGCTTACCCCACCATCTTTCCTGTTGTTCCCCACACAAATGGGCTATTTCTTATGGTTCTTCTCGAATGGTCTCACCCAGGCTTTCTACCACAATCCAATTTGTCTTTCAGGGTGCTCGAGGGCCTAGGGGTTTGCCATCTTCCCCGATAGTCTCCTACATCCAAAAGGTTTACCGTGTAAAACAAATTTTCTGTAATTTGTTTTGTTTTGTTTTTAGCTGAGCCATCCTGCCACCTGTTGGCAGCTCAGCGGCTGCTCAGCTCGGGCCATGAATCAAACTGGCGACTCTGTTGCTTAGAGCTCTTGAGCGAGCACTTAACCAACTGAGCCACTCGGCCGGCCCAAATTTTCTGTAATTTAAAGAGTACCCAGTGTGCTCAATCCATGTTTCCACCAGAGCCAAACCTAGTCACTTGGCCCCTTCCTAGACAGGAACCTCAGGGCTGACACACTTAGCCCTTTAGAACTTGAATTTCTGTGTCCTCCTATCTCTTGAACAGCAGCCTTAGTAATACACTAGTCTAAACCTAATTTGTGATCCTTCCTTGCTCAGATGCCAGGGAGCTCCTGCCCTCTGGTGTCCACAGGAGATCCTGCACGGAGCTGGCAAGTCCCTAGTCCTGCTGCTACACTAGAAAAGTTTACTACCAAAAGGGTCTGCAAATATCTCCAGCCAGAGAAGCCCGACAACCCCTCCCCATAGTCCCAGCGTACCCTGGGCCAGGATGTCCGACTGCACGTCTCCATCGTAGTTCTTGCAGGCCCACACAAAACCGCCTGAAGACTTGAGGACCTGAGCCACCATGTCATCAATGAGCCGATGCTCGTACCAGATCTTATTCTTGTCGAAGTCGGTCTTGTAGTGCCTGGAAGTACAAAGGCCTGTTGTGGGGAGAGAGCAAGAGGCTGACAGGTGGGGGATCCCTCCCTGAGACTCAGAGCTGAGCCAGGGGCCCTGGGACAGCAACCTCCCTGGGTAGGACGAGGGCGGGGAGGACAAGGAAGAAGGGCTGGGAAACACTGAAGGGAAAGTATGTTACTTCTCAAAGATCTCCTGGAAGATGTCCTTGAAGCGCCCGTCGTAGGCTTTCAGGATGGTGTTCTTGGTGCTCATGTACAGCGGCCACTTCTTCTGGATAGCATACTGGAAGCAGCTATGTGCAAAACCCGAGATAGACTAGGGGGAGAAAGCAAGGTTCCTAGCAGGGCCCCCCAGGGCCAGGCTCTAGGCCGGGAATGGCACCCTTTCCCCCTACACGACCCTCTCTGGTAGTCTAGGTTCACCCAGCCACCCTGGAGGGAGCATCTGTTGTTTCAGCTGGCCGGCTGCCCTCTCCCAACTTCTGGGAGGAAGCAGCCCCCTAGCTTTGCTTTGGAAAACTACCTCCTGCTCCGTAATTCTTAGGCCACATGGCTGAGGTGGGACCTGTCCCTAGAATTGACAGTATGTCCCGGTTTATCCAATCAGATTGCCTCCTCCCTCGGGGCCTCTGTGATTGGCTCAGAGAAGGTCATGTGACCCAGGCCTGGCACTTTTGCTCCAAACGTAAGCCAAGAGGCGCTTTTCTCTGATAAGGTAGCCAAGCTGGCAAGGGTAACGCCTGGAGCAGGAAGGCTAGGCTCAGGCTCCCGTGCCTTCCTCACCTCGTCGGTGTTGTACATGCCCATGCCCACGCCGCCAGCGGGGAAGTTGTACACCTCCCACTCTTTAGGACTGCTGCCATCCTTCGGGGTGAAGACCATCTTGAACTTGCCGGCCCGATCAGCTACAAAGTCTGTGGCCTTGTACTGCAAAGACGAGAAGGCGACTCATGGCAAGGGCTCTAGATGGGAGTCCCAGGCCAGTGGATCCTAATTCCCACCGTGGCCCACCTGGTCGCCGTGGGCGTGCCTGCCAATGGTGATGGGCTTGGTCCATCCAGGGACAAGGCGGGGGATGTTTTTGCATATGATGGGCTCCCGGAAGACAGTCCCACCGAGGATGTTCCGGATGGTTCCATTGGGACTCTTCCACATCTTCTTCAGCTTGAACTCTAGGAGGACAGAGACTAAAGTGCCCCCACTGCAGCCCCCACCTTCCAACCAGAATTTGAACCCCAAGCAAGAACACAGCCAGACGGCGGTCCTAAAAATCATCTGGAGAAGCAGGAGCGTCTAGATTGTGAATGTGTGGGCTCCAGGATCACATTTCCTGGCTTCAAGGTCCAGCTCGGCCACTTCTAACTGTGAGTCTTATGCAAGTGGCTTGACGGAGCTATAAAATGAAATTTTGATAAAATGCCTCGCCTTCTGGGCTGCTGTGAGGATTCAGTGAGCTCATGTGTAGAGTGCCTGGGACAGAGCCTGGCACACAGTAAGTGCTCTGTCAGCTATTACTCCCGCATCACACTCAAATGAAGCTCTGCTGAATCCTGGCAGCACAGTGCCTCACTCCAGATGCTCTGGTTCGAGACCCCGGACTGCCACTAACTGGCCCAAGTTACTAAGACTGTGACCCTTGGCTTCCTTGTCCATAAAATGGAGATATATAAGCCCAAGGGTTCCGGAAAAAGAAAAGAAAACCTGTGAGAAGCGCTTAGCACTAAAATGACTCCAATACCCTAAGGTTAGTACATCCTGAAAGACAGCAGGAGGCCTGGGGAGCTTGGAGCTGTGTCTTGAATGCTTCTTTCTAGCTCCCGGATCCTGCATGAAGTAGGAAGACAGAACTCTGCAAACTGCTAAAACACCCTTTCTTGAACTTTCCAAACCTGGCCCCTTTATCCACACACTGGTGCCATTTCATGGAACCCTTAGGACCAGCCCCAGAACCAGGACCAGCAGCCAGTCCACGCCTGTTAAGGGTACTTCTCTGAGACCCCCTCCATGGTCTCAGGGGCAGGGGCAGACCTATGATGCCAAGACAGCAACAGGACACTAGTGATGCCCCTGGGAGCCCTCCGAGGCTCTGAAGGATCTCAGCCTGACACACAGCCCTCCTCTAGACACAGGCGGCCCCTGGTCTCTCTGTAAACCTGCCTGCATGACAGTCCAGGAGGCCGGAGGGACAGGCGACCCGCTCTGACTGTGACAGTGTCAGCATTAGCTCCCTCCTCCTCCTCCTCCTCCTCTTCCTTCCTGTTACCGATAGCACCTACACTGGCCAGAGCTACACAGCACAGCAGAAACACCACGGGCACATGGGAGCAGGACACATGGATTCTGGTCTCAGCTCTGTCACACCCTAACTAGAACCTAAGGCCAGCCCCTTAACTGCCCCTCCCTAGCCCCATCTACAGGGGTCACTAAGGCTCTACTGTCTACCAGACATTCACAGGGACACTGGGGTCAAGTCCCAGCCCACCCAGTTCCACACCCCCGCACCTTCCACTCGGGCCTCATCAGGGGTGATGGTGGCACACTTGACGGCCACGCTGTACTTCTGGGTGGCCAACGCGGAGTCGATGGTGACCTGGTCATCAGTCTTGTCACGGTGTGGGAGCCCCAGGTCGAAATACTTGAGCTGGACATCCACATGGGGCAGGATGAGCTACAGACAGACAGCCAAGGCAAGGCATCAGCCCAGGTGACTATGACTCAGGGGCACGTCCAGGCCATGGCAGGGGACACTCAGCCAGGCCAGGGATGAGGGAAGGCCAGTGGAGGGAAGGGCAGTGCAGCCACTCATTAGCGGGGCCAGGCCAAAGCTGGCAGGAGGCTGGGGCTCTGGAGAGAGGCTGGAGGCCCAGGCTGGAGGCCCCAGCTGCAGCCACTCACAGGGCTCATCCCCTAGCATCGACCATCCATCCACTGTGATGGCCCATCAACTCAGGTGAATCCCAACTCCAAGTGCATCTAGATTTCTCCATGCACTGGATTCCCTCTTCTTCCCCATTCAGAAGCAACGATTCTCAGCCTTCTTCTTGTGGACATACGCACAGTGGGGGGTCTTCACAGGGATGAGGCACTCTCCCAGGAAGACCCCAGTAACTTGGAGAAGCCAAGCAGCCATCCTGAGAACCATGTGCCATGGTGGCTCAAACATATCACTGTCCTACAGCACACACCACAGCCACGACACATGGTGACTAACATCCTGGAACTGCAAAGAAAAGGCTAACTGTGTGCACAGCTGCCCTGCACACCAGCCCTGTTTTCTCTTTTCACTCCCTCAAGGAAACGCATCAGAATATAGGGGCTCAAGATGGATAGGATACAGGATCGGCCTTGAATCTGCACAGATTGCTAAGATAAGAAGGCTTTGGCACCAGCACAAGATACAGGCTGCTGAGGACAACCCCCTGCCTGACGTCACGAGAACCATGAGTGGTCTGGACATGACAGAAGAATGGACGGAAGGACAGAAACAGTACTGCTGCTGCCCACCAGGTGGTAGGTGAATCAGGCAGGTGGTTGGGGGCCTGAAGTGTGGCCCGGGAGACCTGTGCTGGGGCAGAAGGCTATGCTTGGCCAGCCATTTGGAAAGCCACCCACTTTAGGAGGGAGCTACCTTCTCCTTGATGAACTGCCAGATAATACGGGTCATCTCATCGCCGTCCATCTCCACCACCGGCTTCGCCACCTTGATCCTCTTGTCGGCATCTAGAACCAGGCACAGACAGCACATGACGCCCCTGGGAGATTGGTAGGGCAGCCCCTCTCCTCCCTGCCAGACTTGCCCTTTGCCCTTCAGTGGTCAGCCAGGGCCCAGCTGCCCAGCTCCCCTTCTACAGGAGCAGCTCCCAGTACTCGGGGACCTGGATCCCCCACTGAGTATGGCCAGCCTGGCCAGTGAGACCTCCTCCCCTGAAGGCAGAGGAGACAGAGAACCAGAGCCAGTTGGGGCTGCCTAGTCCAGCAGCAAGTCGGGAGAGGCTGCCCAGGGGCTACTGCCCCCCAGTCTCCAGGGCAGCCCAGAATCCCCTCTAGTCCAATCCATGCAGTTCTATGCGCTACCCCCTGTCCTTCCAATAGCCTCTCAAAGTCAGCCAGTCACTCACTTGGGCAGTCGCGAGTAACCTGAGAACCTGATTTAGCTTGAAGGGAGGAGGGACTTATTAGCGCCTCGCCTCCTCCATGCCTAATAGTGTACCCCGCCCTTTATATGATTCCATTCAACCCTCTAACCACTCCCCAAGGGGCTATCATTCTCTCTACTTTAAATGTAGGGAGGCTGAGGTTACAGTTTGAAAATGGGGGAATTCGCACTTGCACCACGAGAAGCACACGCTTAGGGCGCTTGGGATTGGCCGGCTCCGGTCGGCCAGTCCTGCCACAGCGTCGTCAGAGGACTGGCAGAGTGGCTGATCCGGGCCCAGGGAGACGGCAGAGGGGGGACAGGAGCTAGGGAGGCTCTTCAAGGAAAAAGTCTGACTCGTGAGAAAAACCAACAGCCTGGGAAGTGAATTCCAAAGAAAACCCAAGATAATGGCCCATCTAATTAACTAGTGAGGGCTGCCTTGGACAAGGCTTGTTGACCCTCAGATGGGGGCGTCCAGGTGCCTGCACATTCCTCTGCCCACAGCCTGGAGGAAGCAGCGGCTGCAGAGCACGGCAACAAGACCTCGAAAACCTGCCATCAGGCCTGTCTTCAGATGCCTCACTCACTGCTGACACCCAGGAGGAATGGGACAGCTGAGAGCTGGATCCTGTCCCCACGGGAGCACTCCTCGGTCCCCACCCAGGGCCCATTCACTTGTAGGACACACAGTCCTTCCAGGTGCAGTTTGGGGTCTTCCACCCCACCAGAGACTACAGAGGAGGGGACAAGGATGTTCACTTGACATCACCAACATCAGGAGACGTGACATCTGCTCAGTGGACAGCACAATACAGAAGCCTATGAAACTAAAGCCTAGAAACTAAAAAAGCATGGCCACCTAGGCACGATTGAAACAAAAGTGACCAAAGCCCACCAAACTCCAAACATATCTCTGTCCTAGAACACACTCCACAGCCATAACTCAGGATAACATCCCCAGCCTGCTAAGAGAAAAGGTTAATATTATATGTACAGCAAAATGACCCACTTCCAAAAGATATACAAACAGGTTGGGTTTTTTGTTTTTTTAAATCTGAAAAGAATCTAAGAGATCATTCAAGAAGAAAAATGAGACCAGGGAGCATGGCTTGTGTCAGAGACAGGAGAGAATACAGATCTGTGGATCGAGTGCAGCCTCTGGGTGCCCTTGTGGGTCAGATGTAGAGAACCAGAAAGCGAACACGGACTCAAAATACTTCACTCCCTAGAGACCAAGGTGGCCGCTGCTGGCACTGCTCTAGCACCTTTCCCAAGATGCACCAGGGATTTCGGACCCAGGCTATGAAATTCCTTCACCTTTTCTGGCCTAAAGCTTGAATGGAAAGGGCTTTAGAACCTGCAGAAAGTCTACTGCGCTGTGACTGAGCTAGCTTAATTTTTAGAAGCATCTCCTATGAGTTACTTTGATGAGAACTAATCCAGTTTTTTTTTTTTTTTATTGTTTAAGATTTTTATTGGGGAATTGGGGGGTGGGAACAGCGCTGGGGAATTGGGGGAAGGGGAACAGACAAGTTGCTGTCNTTTTGTTCTTCAGTCTAGTTGTGGAGGACGTTGCTTCACTGGCCCAAGTTGGCATCATCATTGCGCTCTTCCCGGGCGAGGCAGATCAGTCACCGTCTTCTGGACGGCCGCTCATGGTGGCTGCTGGCCACTCATGCTGGCTGCTGGTTACACACGGTAGCCCGTGGCAACCCACTGCAGCCCACGCCGTTGCCGGCGACCCACGGCAGCCCAGCTCCAGGTTGAGCTGTTGGTCAGCATCTTAGCTGTAGAGGGCAGTGTCAGTGGCCCTCATATGTGGGATCCGAACCGGGGCCCTCTGGCTTCCCAAGCCAGCTCTTAACCAACGTGCCACTCGGCCAGCCCAAATCCAGTTTTTAAAAGAACTATTGAACCTACCATATAATCAGGATCCCTAAGGAGAGATTCATTTAGGGGTCAGTCCTAAAGGTTTCAGACTTAGCGTGGGCTCCACTCAAGGTTTGGGCTTCCGGCTGGCAGCCTGTGGGCTGTGGACACCACACTTCCTCCATGAGGGATTTCAATGTCAAGGTCACAGCAGGTGTCAAACCCTCAAAGACCACAGGGCCCACTTATTAATAATACAACCAGGTGCTAAGCGCCTCTTCCTGAAGCACCTAAAACACAACAGTGCCTGCCCTCAAGGAGTGAGTACGGAGGGGGAAACCTACAGGTAACGGAGAGATAGAGAAAGTAGCGCCTTTATCAAGGTCAGAAGTGCAGGCTCCCTGAAAGCAAACTTTTCAGAGAAGCTGGGAACAGCAGCAGACACTCATTTTGTTTGATGCAGGTAGTGGGGGTTTTTTTTCTTTTCTTTTCTTTTTCTAATATTAATTGGTGGCCAAAGTTTAAAAATCAGGGGATTGTAACAACAACAACAATCAAACCAAATAACCTGATTAATAAATGGGCAAAGGACTCCAATAGATATATCTCCAAAAACAATACACACACGTCACTAAACATTAGGGAAAAATCAAAACCACAATGAGATACCACATGACACCCATTAGGGTGGCTATTATAAAACAAAACAAAACCAAAAAAAAAAACCAGAAAACAACAACTGTTGGTGAGGATGTGGAGAAACTGGAACCCTGGTTGCACTGCTGGTGAGAATGTAAACTGGTGCAACCACTATGGAAAACAGTATGGAATCTCCTCGAAAAATTCAAACTGGAATGGCCATACGATCCACAAATCCCACTTCTGGGTGTAGATCTAAAAGAACTGAAAGCAGAGTCCTGTACACCTATGTTTAGAGCAGCATCATTCACAATAACCAGCAGCCACCCCAGGGTCCACCAAGGGATGAATGGATAAGCTAAATGTGACATGAACCTTCCAAGAGAACAGGGCTCTTTGGAAGCTAATCCAGGAAGGTTAAGAAAAGCTTTTCTCCTAAAGGTTAAACAATGGTCATGTTTCTAAGCTTTTCAAGACTGGGCTCCCCACACCTTAATGGTGGATAGACCTGCTTGGAAACTAAAAAAAAGAAGTACCTCCATGGCTTAGCGATGTCAAACCTACCGCAATAGCTTTCCAAATCCCACAATGGCAAATTCACTTTGTATCTCCAGGAGACTTACTTATATAAATAACATCCCACATCTCCCACACACTCTTTCAATCCAGCTGCCATTAACATTTATGGGAAGTAACTCCTATGATAAATTATAGGCAGTATTAAATATGTAAGGACTTCATAACTCTATCCCCTAAGCTTTTCACAATTCCTACACCTTACTCAAAAGGTCAATACATTTTAACTTGAATATTTTTAAGGCAGTATGTATGTACATATAACAGACTAATATTATTCAGCCTTAAAAAAGAAGGACATCTTGTCACATGCTACAACATGGATGAACTTGAAGGACATTATGCTGAGTGAAACAAGCCAGTCACACACACAAAAAAAGACAAACACTTGTGATTCTATTTATATGAGGCACTACAAAGAATCAGATTCATAGAAACAGAAAGTAGAATGGTGGTTGCCAGGGACTGGAGGGAGAGGGGGGAATGGGGAGCTGTTATTTGATGGTACAGAGTTTCAGTTTTGCAAGATGAAAAGGCTCTGGGTATTGGTTGCACAATAATGTGAATGCACTTAACAAGACTGACCTGCAGACTTCAAAATGGTTAAAACGGAAATTTTTGTTATGCATTTCTTACAATAAAAATAAATAAAAAATAATTTTAAAAAGTTAAACTAGTCACACCACACACACACACACACACAGGAGATTTTACATAAAAATTTAGACTGTCTTGAAGAATGAGTTGCTTCCCCCAGGCACGCAGAGCGGCATGGCTCATGGTAGGGCTGGGCTGGGCTGAGGCAGCCTGTCCCTTCATGCCAGGCCTGCCACGTGCCCTCCAGAGCGCCCCAAGGCTTCAGAGTTTGAGACTTTGCTGTTTAGCCAATATGGGGGAGACATCCCGTCTGCCCATCTCTGGGAGACAAGCAACCTGAAATCCAAGGAACAGTTTCTGGGCCCCCATGAAAGCCTCCAAGGGACACCACGAAATCTTCAGATGAGACGGCGCATGAACACTGTCATCTTGGCCAGAGCATGGGGTGAGATTACATTAGTCCCAAGAGGCCCATTAGGCCAACCTCCTGGTTTGGGGCTTCTAGCACCCAACACCAAGTAAGGATTTCAAAACCCATTCCTGGTTTCAGGATCTGCCTGCAGCTCCAAACTCAAGGCTCAAGGTAAGACAGATGCACCAATGATAACTGCTTCTCCCACATTCCTACCCCTGATGCTCTCAGCAGAGGGGCTTCTCAGCCAGCATGGCCCAGCAGAATGGGGGGGGAGCCTCAATTCCTGCGAGCTCCAGAAGGCAGGGCAGCAATTCTGGAAGACACTCTAGTATTTTCTTTGGTGTCATCCTTCACTCCTCCCTTTCTCTCACGCTCACATCCAAACCATCAAAAAATCCTATTGGTTCTCCTGTCAAAATATATCCAGCACCCAACCACTTCTCACCATCCCTAGGTCCACCACCCAGGTCCAAACTGACATCCTCTCGCCAGATTGTGATGATGGCCTCCTACCAGGTCCCTGAAGCCACAGCGCTCCTGTTAAAATGTAACTCGGGTCATGACACTCCTCTCAAAACCCTGCAAATCCTCCACTTTCACTCAGAGTAAAGGCCAATGGTCTCAAAAATGGCCTGCAAACCCAATTGGGCCCCCACGACCTGGCCCATCTCCCATCACTCACCATGGTGCACTCTGAGCCAGATCCATGCACGCTTTCCTCTCTGCTATCCCCACAGGCAAATGAGCGCTCCTCCACCGTGACCTTGGTACCTGCATTTCCCCCTTCCCCTGATAACTAAATGGCCTGTGTCCTCCACCCCCCTCAGCTCTTCACTCAGTAATTTCTAGCCACCCCCCAAACATTCACGCACACCTTCCCTGCATTTCTGTTGTCCTGTTACCATTTATCATGCTAGCCAACCTCTATCTTGTTTACCATCTGTCCCCAAATTAGAATGGAAGCCCCAAAAGGTCAGAAATCTTTGCCTCTTATTCTCAACTCTGTCCCCAGCACCTTGCACAGTCCCTGGCACATAGTGGAGGCACAATATTTGTGGAAGGCATGAATGAACGCCAAGTCACGGTCAATTCTGTCTGTGGTAAGGGCTGTCCTGCCCTCACCTCCTGTTTGGATAAAATGTGCTCTCTCCCCACCCCCACCTTCTAGGATGATTTGCCACAGAGGCCAGAGAGTTCGCACCATCAGACTGCACCAGATCATCAAAAATGTGGCAACTCTGCCAGGCAATGGGCTTCCTGCCCTGGAGAAGCACACAATTTATAGTGGATTAATATTTGCAATCGCCTGGCGTTTTAAACCTGGGTTGACAGAAGTAGAAAGTCCAGTGCAGGCCACAGAATCCAGCTTCCAGGAATCAGAGAGAAGTTTCCAGTATCTCATGCCCTGAATGGAATCAGTGCACGAGGCTTCAACCTCACATAGAGGATTTGGGGACAGGCCCCACAGGCTTTCCCTCAAAACTTACTGAGGTCAAACACGACCACCCAAACAGCTCTGCTGCGGCAGCTGTGGTCTTATCTGGTGTGGTTGAAACAAGGCTCAGTGGAGAACACACAAGAACTCCACTAGTGGGTCTGCAAAACTTTGAACAATCATTAAATAACTTGCTCTCGGATCTGCGAGTACAGGCAAGTTACCAAGATCTGAAAAGTCAAAGGGCAGGCAAGGTGAGAAAATTAAGTTCCTAGGCTAGGAGTAGAGCAAAGGAAGGATCGGTAAGTCATTCTCCCCCAAACTCCCGCTTATCAGAACCACAGAAACAGTTACTGGAGGCCCATGAGTTGCAAAACTAGAAACAGACATGTGTAGGAATAACTGGGCAGCAGGCACAAGGATGTTTTAGCCAAAAAATACTCTTTCCTTGTCATCAAGGGGAATGCCAACTATTCTGTCTCTGGCAGTGTTGCCAGGTAGCAAACTAGCAGAGGTCACAATTGTATAGTCTCATGTCCAACTCAAATACCAGGCATTCTCCCCATTATGATAATAACCAACCTATTTGGGGACTTCAAGGAGGACCTGTAACTGCCTGCTCTTTTTATGGGTTACCCAAATTCAGGCCCCCAAAGGGGCTTTGTTTTCTTGTTTATGTGTGGGGTGTTTTGCTTCTTCTTCTTTTTTTTTTTTTCCAACAACGCGGGAATAAAAGGGAGAATTGGAGAATGCACCTAAATTCCACCATATTTTGCTGAAGGTGGTGCCCTATGGGAAACTTGTTTTGGGGCCTGGGGGCACTTGGAAACTTAGGATTGCAGGGCTGGCCCCTTAGAGACAAATCCTAGAAGTACAAAAGCAGAAATGCTTTCTTCTTGGCAGGTTTGGGGGTGGGGGGGACCGCTGGGGCCCAGGCTCTGGTCAGCTGCTCCCACACTCTGTTAAAGATTACCTACACTAGCAGTAAGGCCAGGTCGCCTGAGCCCCACCCTCTTCCTCGCTCCCCTGGCTCACTACAAGGGGTTCCTGGCCAGGTCAGGACAGAGGTTTCCGTGACAACAGGCATCAGACAGGGTCAAGGGACCTACATTGTTCCCTGCCTTTTGTAGCTGGCGATGGGTAGCCAGGGTGTAGGTAATGCCCACATGCCAGCCAGAACAGCCTGTGCTGGTAATGGAGATTCAGGCTACCTTCTGCTTATTACCACGGAACTGCTGTCTTCTCCCCTAAGCCCGGAGCTAAGGGTACCACAGAAGCTGTGAACTACCATTGGGGAAAGTGACATTTAGGTGCAGCTGCCAGGTCTCTGCATCGGTGAGCCAGGCAGGGCCAAGGACCAGCGCAGGAACTGGCCCGCGAGAAAAGGCAGGTCAGGCCAAGGAGAGGCCCCAAGATGGAGCCGCAAGTGCGGCGACAAGGAGAAAGGGGGGAGTCCAAACAAAAGGGGAAAATGAAAAGCACGCTCCTCCAGCTGTCGTGTAAATTGCTCCAAAAATAGCTGACGAGGGCCTGGCGGCGAGGAGGGATTACAGCGCGCCTGGCTGAAAAGGAAGGGGAAGTGGATGCCTCCTCCTCCCGCCTTTGTCTGAGCAGGGACGGCTCGTGGGGTGCTCCGGCCCCCATTCGTTTGCTCGTCTTCCGCCAGGGGCGCAGGGTGGGCAGGATGCCCTCCTGGTTTGGGACACCCCGAGCACGCTCGCTATACAGTTCTATCTGGGGGCGCCCGGGCAGTCCAGAACTCCCGCCCGCGCAGGGCCGCAGGGCTGGCATCGCCCAGGCCCACAGTTGCCACCGTCCTTCAAGTCCCCCACCCCTGCGCCTGGCGCGGCCTGGAAGCTCGGGGCTGGGGAGAGCGGAGCAAGGCCGTCCCCAGCTCTTTGTGTGCCCAACCCCGCCGACCCCGGTCCGCGAGCGGCCGGGTCCGCGCTCCCTGGCCCCGGCCCGGGAGCCGCCACGTCGCGAAGCCGGGCGCGCGCCCGCCCGGATCCTCTGGCACTCACAGTGGCGCCGCGGCGGGTCCTGCAAGTTGGGGCCTGTCAGGGCTGCCGGCGCCCAGGCCGGCCCGGAGCCCGAGGCTCTGCCGAGCGAGCGTACGACCCGCAGGTAGCCAGCCATCCCGAGCAGGCGAGGGAAAGAACCCGGCAGGCGAGATCCGAGCGCCGGCCGCAGCTCCCAGCTGCCTGGCAGCGGGCTGCCCAGACCTGGGCGCTGGGCGCGCGGGCACGGCCGGGGCGGGGCCGCCGAGGCCGCCAGCCCATTGGGCCTCGCCGGGATTAGGCGGGTCCAGGCCGCGCGGGACCCGCCCCCTGCGCGCAGCCTGCCCTTCCACTCCCGCCGCGGGAAGCCCAGCTGGACCGGCGCCCCCCTGCGCGCGAGGGTCGGAGCTGAAGGGTTAGGGGAGCCGCTAGCGAGGCTAAACCCCCCCCCTCTCCAGGACGCCCGGTTACAACCAGGGCTATCAGCTGCTGACACTTCAGCTTAAACCCAAACAGGCCTCTCTGAGGAAACTCCCGCGTCTTTCGAGTTGGCTGAACTAAACGCCCCCAAGGCGCGTGAACCAGGTGCGCGTTCCGCGCTCTTGACGCATGACCATGGGTACCTCAGGCCTCCTTAAGTTCTCTCTCAGACCCTCCTGTCCCCTCCGCGGGTTGTTCAGACTGACTGGAGTCCCCTCCTCCCACCCCCCCAGCGCGCCTCACCAGGTCAAGCTGGTAGTTGTCGACGTCATGCAGCATAGCCAGAGTCCTCCGGTCCCGAAAGGGGGCATTATAACAGTGACAGGCCTGCCCGGAGACCTGGGCGACATCCCGCCTGTGAAAGGCTGGGCAGAACACGCTGTTGTTCTCAAGGACAGCCCGCCGGTGCTTATCGCCTTCCAGATGGGTGCTCAGCACGCCGCCGAGGCTGAATAAACTCAGCGTCTGCCCAGGTAAACAGTTCCACTTTCGCCTGTTTTCCTAGAAAAGACAATGCTGGTTGGTCCTGCCGTCCACAACCAAAGTCTGTCCCTCTCCACCCATTTTCTTGAAATGAGACACACACACACAGGGGGTGGGTTTTATTTAGAAAAATCTGACCCCAGCCCCCCACTTTCCCTGTCACAACTCCCTCCAAATATTCTGCAACTTCTTTCAGCTGTGTGTTCCCAGCCTCTCCCCTTCACTGCCTCCCAGTCAACATTGCCAGACGGAGCTGTGCCAAGAAAGTGACCTTGAATTACTGACTTCAAAACTCCCTTCTCCCTCTCCCAGCCAGGCAAAGAACGCTATTGTTTTGGCCCTGTGATCCAACAGACTGAGCCCAAGGGGAGGCTGCTTTTGGACCCCCCTAAAATCTGAGGCCTCAGTCAAATGCCTGTTCTTGGGCCAGCACGTCCCAGAATGACCCATTATCCCTTTCGCTCTATTGCCAATTCTCTTGCTCAAAACACAAGCATAGGCCATGGAAGCTTCTGGTAACTGGCTTTCACCGTCATCCTGATATTATCAGGCACATGGGCCTCAGCGTTATACCTGTGAACTGGGAGAAGGGACCCCCGAGGATCCTTCCGACCCGGATATTCAGATTCAGTTATGTATGTCAGCTACCTACATTGCCACTTCTGAAATGGTCGTAAAGAAATTACTGCCCACCCCAGGAATTGCTGTACCTTTCCAGGGTGGACCAGGGCGGCAGAGGCCTGGCCAGAGGCAGTACTGAAGCCTCGGTGTGTTCTGAGTCTGGCCTTTGCCTGCACAGGGGTCAGGGTGGGGACACGTGTGTCCTCAGCAAGCACACCAGCAGCCCCGGGGCAGTCAGGCAAAGTCTTCGGGTTGAACTGCCTCTCACTGCTCACCTCCCAGGGCTCCATCTCCATGCCAACCTTCCCCATGCATACCCACCTACCTAGCTCATAGACCATTGCACTTTTAAGGAGAAAGAAAGGAAACCCAGAGCCTGTAGTATTTATTGCACTTGTTTGGGATTCCTGGTGATGCTCACTGCTGGCCATGAAAGCCACGTTAGAGAAAGATGGTGTTTAAAGGAAAGGTGTTTAGATCCTCCAGTTTGGGGCCAGCAGAATTAGAAAGTCCCTCCCTTCCCCCACTTGTCATCAAACCCCGGTTTGTTACTGAGTCTAGGTCATGTGCACGTTCCTTGTGGAGGCACAAAAATGCATATCACTCAGCCCCTCCCTCCCCTCCAGGAGCCAGACACACGTCTATGCAATCACCACAAAGCAGGCACAAGAGAGTTTCCCAAGAGGAGTTTAGATGACGTGAAAAAGCATCTGGCAAAGAGAAAATCACCTCTGATGAAGGGAGTCCCCGAGCTTGGCGGAGGAACAGCCATCAAGCTGGTTCCTTGAGGATATTTAAGATCTGGGGGGAGGCAGGACAGGCAGGCTGGGAGAAGTGATGGACTTGCACTTTATCCAGGTGGACACTCCAGGGCGTTAGTTTTGTGGTGTGTTTGTAGGCAGGGCGTAACACCTGGCAACAGCAGCGAGGGAATGTTAGGGGGTCAGGCCTGGGGAAAGGAGGCCAAGGCCCCTGAATCAGGGGCAGGCCTGACACAAGGTCCTGCCAGCACCCCCAGAAGGGCAAGACTTCCCAGATGGTGTAGAGATAGAATCAGCAGGCGACCTCCCACATGGCACAGGGGGAGGAGTCAGGATGACTCACACTTCCATCCCTGGACTGGGAAGAATGGTGATACCATTATTAGAAATCAGTGCACAGGAGGAGGAGAGGGTTGTGGGGGAGGTGTTGATAGCAGAGCTATTTATGGTCATCTCTAAAGTGATTTCTCTGCCAGCAGTCTGTGAGCCCGTCCTCCCCATGTGCTGCTTGCAGCATTGTCCTCCTGAAGCCCATCCCTGAGCAGTTACTTCACAGTCACATATTTGCGGTAGCTCTCCACTGCCTAATACAATAAAATCTGAATAGCTTATAAGACTTATTAGCTTTTACCTCCCTCACCACCCTTCTTTTCTACCCCAAGAACCCTAAATCCAGTCACTCACCTGAATAGTTCCCTGCCTCTGAGCCTTTGCACTGTCCCTTCCTTTAATCCAGTGGATTCTTTTCACTCCCCATGGCCAGACCTCAGTCCTTGGTAGCCAAGTTCATGCTCACCTTCTACAGCCTGCACTGGGGTGAGGATGGGGAGGGGCACAGCCTTCATTTATACCTGAGTGATCACATAAGGTAAACCAGATCCCCCCACCACTACAAGAGACAAAATACGACTCTGATTTTAACTTTGTAAAATAAATCTATAGACGGTAGCAGGCAGGGTCCAGAAACAAATTTGGAAGGTTTGAAACTACTATTTAATTTCATGAAATTTCTTCTCAGCTTGCTTAAGCTAATCCTGAAAATCCCTAATAAAGCTAGAGATCCAAAGTTGGAGCAATGGGAAAATGATTGAAAGGCAACTTTACCTTCCCAGAGCCTAACGGTTTCTCCCTGATGTTGAAGACATTTGTTATGATTGTCTCATGACCTGGGCAAGCCACTTCACTTCTCTGAGCCTCAGTTTCTTCATCTGCAAATGGGCATCGTAACACTTCCTCCTAGTAGTTATTAGGATTCAATAAATTCATGCGGATAAAATGCTTAGAGCGGCACCTGGCACACGCTGAGAGAATTGCTGGCGATGGTATTAAAATTATCCATTCACTCACATCCATTCAACACCAGTTTACTGAGCTCCTGTGACATGCCAGGTGTGACCCTGGGATGGACAAGAGGGCACAATCTATTCCTGAGGGGACTTTAGTCCACCGGGTGTGTTGGGAAGATGGATGTATAATCAGGTTATTTCAAAATACAGTGGATGTGCTTGGAGGGAGTGTTGGTTGGTACAGTCTCTTTGGAGGGCAATTCAGTAGCATCCATATTACTATAAAATGTACATGGCTTTGGATCCAGCAAGTCCACTTTGAGGGATTCTCACCATAGAGACACCAGGTTGTGAAGAGATAGAAGAAGTACAGGGTCCACTGCAGAGCTTTTGTAACAGGGAGAAATTAGAAATGGCCCAAGTGTCCACTGTCAGTTGTATTCATGAAATAGACCTATATCTACGAATGTAGAAAAACATTCTGTGATATGTTAAGTGAAAAGAGAAAGTTGCAGGGAAATAGCCCACTGAATATGCATGCATATATATATATATGAAAATATATATATGAGAAATTGAAGGCATATGAATCAAAGAGTATATGGGGGTAGGATTGTGAGAGACTCTCAATTTCTACTTGATACAATTCTGTGGGATTTGACTATTCAGTAACAAGCATCTATTGCTTCTGTAACCAGGAAAAGAACAATGAAGGTATATAATTTTAACACAAATCACCACAGTAACTTATGTGATGTCCAGAGTGTGCCAGGACAATTCCTTTACATTGAGGCTTTTCCTCTTGCATG